AGAAAATGAACAACAACACATTTCTACGCGACGATCAAGTAATTGAGGCCTTTATAAACAGCCAAACACCGCGCCAGGAAAACGTAAAAAAGTATAGTTAGCCTACATAGACGTCTCGACGTTCTTTGTTGACCGGCGGCGGGTGTGCGTTAAACTGGCAACTCTACTTTAATTTTTTTTTGTCGAATTTATGTACGTTAGCAATATTGCGCACTTATTTTTTTTTTAATACTGGAATTTGCACCCTTGGTGTGACGGAACGACACCTGCAAAATGTCAACTTTTCAAAAGGAAAAAAATTTTTGGAAAGGAGAGAGGTTTAAAGGTTGAGAGTTATAAAACAAAATTCGAAAAAATACATAACATAATAAAACATGAATATGAATTTTGCGAAAAATAAAGAAACAAAATAAAAACAGAACCGGTCCAAAAATGAACTTGGCGTAGTGTTCTTGGAGGTATCGATGTTTCATGTAGTTCGGATTATTTTATGAATTTCTTGTGATAAAAAAGCTTTTGACGTATGTTCGCATGTGGGCTTATTATTAAGGGTATGAATTTACATTACAAATTTTATTGTATCTTGTTCCTAAGTTGCCATCTCATATTAGGGCCATACTCTGTGAAGCTAGGCCGTAGATTACGAGTACATAGCGAAACGAGGATAATGGTGACATGGAAAAAGCAGTATCCAGTGATTTATAAATCGCAACATTCAATTTATAAATCAATGGATACTGGATACTGGAGGTAGAGAATATTTATATTGCTAAAAAATTTATAACTAGTTACTCGTTTGAAAGGAAGTTACCTTTTTAGCATACAGAGAGTTGATAACTATAATATTGTCCCTTACTTTATCAAAACGAAAATTGTGACAGCATGTTACTTAAGGAAGCTTTTCATCCAATGGACGTTCGTGCAATTGAGTCCACCTTATTATTTACTACATAAAGAGCTCCTTTATACAATAATACAATATTGTAGAATGTTACACGTGGATCTTAATAGAGAATAAACGTATAATTTTACATAAAAAAGTTTTGATTTAAAAAAATGGGTCCTCTATTCGTCGATGTGTGCTTAGTTCATTCTGTTCTGCAATATTGCGTTATTAATAAAAAAAGTTGAGAAAGAAGCTCCACTTTGTATTAAAATAGATTACTACTTGTGTTAATGAAGTTACTTCATAATATAAACCTTTAGTCCTCAAGTTTGAATTAACTCTCTAAAAAAATAATTGAAATTGTCGAATGTATAACTAGGACAATATCGCCTGACCTGCCAGTATAACGAGCACGGGTGCGCTGGCCGCTGCCCCTCGCCGGCCATTCCAAACAACCGTCACTCTATTCCGTTCACAAAACATAACCGGACGACTTCACTTCCTCCTCGTCTACTTATTTAATTAACAACCTTGTCAAAGACCAAAGACTTTATAAACAAAACCGTGCTTTACTTTAACCTTCTAAATAACCTGTTTTATTATATAAAGACAAAAAAAGGCCGGAAGCTGCACCGGCGGCTTATTGCGACGACTATCGGTTTGGCGCCATCTCGCATTGCGTCTTAATTGTTGAAATTAATTTGAATCGATTTTCGACCGTGCTTAGTGATGTTTTACTTTAGTTCAAATGAGTGAAAATATGGCTGCTGTTGCTGTGGTAAGTCCTTTGTTGATTTCCTATAGACACTTGTACTTTTTGAAAGGTCGTATGCTCTATGAAATGAGGAAAGAACATTTGTCCTTTTGAAAGAACTAAGTTAACACTTAATTTAGAAAATAAAAAATTAAGTTGTTAAGTGTGGCAAAAATATTGTTGTTAAGAAAATAAATTCAATACCTCCAAACTACTTAAGCATGTTTGCATGTACCTGATTAAGGAAACGTTGCATGTGTAGCCTTCCTAAACATAAATACGGGATACCTATAACCACCTCGTTGATCATGTCCTAAATATGGAATGACCTGCTACCTCCTGTAGGGGTTTAATCGGTGTTGACATTGAGATGAAAAGCCATTTGAAAAAAGCAACCCCGGTCTGCAGCTTTCTTTTTGTTTGTGTGTGTGTGCTCAGGTGTGCGTTTAAGTTTGTTTGCTCGTAACCATCATGGTTATTTATAACAGAGCTATACAATATGACATATTTTGCACCCTTAGTGTAATAACGCCACATATGCGAATTGACATTTTTTCAGAGAAGATGTTCGAAGTAGAGAACGAAATTAATCGATAACTTTTTGTGCTTTTACAATAGGAAAATTATAAAATTGCACTTAATTAATATATATAATCATTGTACATAATTCGTTTAACAAAATGATACTATTTTTCCGAATTTAAATCGCGTATATTTGTTTTTCCATTTCGGGCCCTTTACAGCTTCCATTGTCACGGTTGACTCTCAAAAAAATATTTCAAATTGTAGAATGTAGAATGTGGTTGACTCTCAACGGTGATCATGAGACGTAAAGGGTGCGAAACGTTGGTTTGTTTGAAAAACAAATAAACGCGATTTAAATTCGGAAAAACATTTTCATTTCCTATGTCTAACAATTGCGAAAACCTAAGAACTTGATTTGTTTCATGAAGTTCAAATTGTTTTTATAACTTTTTCTGTGATAAAAGCATTTTCGAAATACTGTCACACATGAAGCTTTATTATGCTAAGGATATATTTGTTTTATTATTTATTTGTATTTTATATTGTACTGCATGTCAAATAATCTCGATTTCAATTTGATTATGTAACAGAAAATGCAATTTTCAGTTTAGAATCTTCCTGTAGATTTACAAAAAAATATTGTATGCTCCATCGGTGCCTGCCCTAGGCGTCTTTTGCCCAAAAGAACTTCGAACTCAATTTGAATATCTGTCAGTCTAGTTACTCTGTCTTTGTGACCATTCAATTCACTGGCCATCCATTGAGGCTGCACGCGACAGTACCACCACTATTCCCCAGAGTATTATTGCATACGTTATACATACGTACCACATCATGCTTGTCTCCCTCTGGATTAGGATTATATAAGAGAATATAAGACTCACTACGCTCTTGACATATTTTTTTCAACTCTCCACTCCCATCAGTTTTTTTTCACTTTACCCGGTTAGTCGTGATGTTTTTGACATGGCCTTCTTACTGTCATACTCGGCGGAGTCACGTATATGTTGAAGTCGACTTTCCTCAGATTTCTTTCCATGTTCGTTCCATAAATTTGCTTCGTTATTTTATTAACACCAATCGTTTCTATATGACTAAACTGTCAAATTCAATAAACTGGTTTTCGTCCCCTAATTTGTCACCCTTAGAGGTGGAATATTGTCTCCCAACAAAAACAGAATCATCGATATCGGTTCACAAATGTGGGAGTAGTCGCGCAACGTACACAAAAAAATACAATCGAATTGAGAACCTCCTATTTTGAAGTCGGTTAAAAACGCTCACTAACTACGCTGTTTCTCACTATCTCTAAAATCTTTCCGTCAATATATAAAGAGTGCTTTAAAAATGTTCGACCTATTTTATTGTGGACCGTACATGACAATAACTTTAGAAAACAATAAATTGAAATCTCTTACATTCACTAAGCGAAGTAAATTTCTTTTTTGCGTAATTAAAATATTTTTTCACTTAATTTGTTTGTAATCACGAACGAGTGCATTGATCAGCTGAATTATTGTCCTTAACAACACGAACGGACTTAACTGATAATTTTGAATAAAACTAATCATATTAACACCATCACATAGAACATGAATGCTGAATCGCATTATGGAAATTAGTAATTTTTTTTCGAGTTCTTAGGTTTTCGCGATTGTTACACATACGAAATGAAACTATTTTTCCGGATTTAAATTCATTTCATTCAATAAAATAATTTGTAAAACTTAATGTAGCGTAAATTGGAATGTTTTCTTTGTAAAATTAAAAATAAGGTATTTAATTAATAACTATTGTAACTATAGTGAAAAAAATAGGGTGGTTTGCATTAATATTAGACATAACTGGTTGAAAACTGTACCACCTCAGTCAATCGTGACCATGGGACCTGTAAAGGGCCCGAAACGTCGGTTTGTTTGAAAAAACAAATACACGCGATTTAAATTCGGAAAAATAGTTCAATTTCTTTTCGTTAAAATTATACGGCCATTCGTGACAGTCCTCTTTATCATGAATGATATGAAACAATGGGCTCGGGTATTTGGTACACCGTGTATTTCTTTACAATGTGCTTTAAATCTTTACCGTATTAAAACGCACCTAAAAATGACCCAAAAGTAAAGATGTTTGCTTAATACAATATTTCCCGCCAATTGCAAAAACCTATAGTCATAAAATACCTTGACGTTAAATAACATTTGAAACTTACGACCCTATGAATCACATTTAACGTTTTGTATGAGGTAGCCAAGTATAATAATTTTCACATAGTGATTCAGTTAAGTAACAGTCGTGACTGGAATAAGTTAGTCATGGAAAGCCCTGCTCGTTAGTTCTTATCAGTGTGTGATGACTTGCCTTACGCTCGGATAAATCATTCAGCTAATTGGGTTTTAAGTCTTTCCTACTCTATTCAGGTCTTTATTGTGTTGAAGTAAATTATGAGAGCAAGAATGATAAAAAAGGAGAACGCGTTTTAATTGGAGGAAATTTATACATAGTACATATCAAAGATAAGCCTAAAGTAACTTTGTTATCTGGTAACGTTCCAATAAATTAATATTTCTATTTATTTTGACTAATTGTTTCATTTCAATGGTTGATTCGAGGTCAGTTTTCGAAGGCATATCCATAACATATACCGTCGGAGCTAGAGCAATTAATCACTCAAGCACGTGGGCATGAATCGTCAGTTTCATGAATGAAGCTCATATAGACAACTGTCCTGTCCATCAGTTGATTGGGGGTAGGGCCGCGCGCGGCCAGTCGGCGGGTGAGTGGTCGAGAGGGATGTCGCGTCGCGTCGGCCGCCGTATATCACGTGTGCGTTCACAGGCTGACCCGCCGCCGGTCCCGGAACCGACCCCTGCGGCGGACCCAGACAACCCACCGTCTGACGACGAGCAAGAATCAAGCAACTGGCGGCCCTCCCGTCCCGCCTCACCACCCCAACGCCCTGACGACGCTTCCGAAGGATCCGAAGCTCCACGTCCCACTAGAACCGAACCAGCTAGTCGATATGCAAACCTCAACTTTTGGAAAGCTCGAAGAGTAACTTTCTACCGAAATGGGGACCCATTCCATCCAGGTGTGGAATTCAGATTCAAACCCGGTAGAGACTTGGTGTCAATGGATTCCTTGCTGGATCGACTATCTGAGAGGCTGGAATTACCACGAGGAGCGAGATTCATCTTTGGAATGGATGGAGATCGGAAATATAGGCTTGACGAATTGGAAGATGGCGCATCCTACGTCGTGTCGTCATACAAAACTTTTAAGGTAATAGTCAGTGCTGTTTTGTAATATTTATATAATATATGTAATATTTTGCTTTCTACATAACCTGCATGCACGAATACACGTGTGTATCGTACTTATACCGGCGTTTACCGTGTCATTGAGGTGCAATGCGCAATACACCCGACTGTAGAGCTTGGTGCACACTTATCCGTGACTAAAACTTGCGCTAGTCTTATTTCAGACTTAGTACAGAGGCTTCTTTGTGTCTCTACATACTGTATAATCAAAGGCCTACTTTGTTTGTATACATTCAGAACAGAATTTGTGTTAATTAAGATTCTATTTGCTGATAGGAATACCGTGTTTTCAGTTAAGTATTTGCATTTAGGCAACAACAATTAGCAAAGCGTCAGAAATCATTAGCGGCGGTGTGTCAGGCTAGAAATTTAGCGAACGTTTTTATGAATTAGTTTTATAGTTTCAAGAATGTCGCGGGGATTGTTGGAGACGAGGCCACGGCCTTGTCGAGATATGGGTCGCCGGATAAGCACGCACCGTCACAGACATTTGCATTTTGATTACACATACCCGCACAAAAAATATGGATAAACGAACTAATAGTAACAAAATAACATTCGCTGTAAAAACACCGTAATTATTTCGAAAAGGGAATTGTTGAGACGATTAACAGATTTATTACACAAACAATATGTAGTTAGAACGTTTTCTATTTCTCTAAGTGGCGCGAGTGTTTCGTGAGAGACTGACATTGGTTAAGTGTGAACGATTGTAGAATTAGTGGCTAAAGTTCATGCTCAAGTTGGTTATTTCTAGTTGTCCTAGATAGATTCTACATTTTGATATTGCGTTTTTGCTCAATAATCTGTTTGCGTGTTATCTATAACTAAGTATGGAAGATACATTAACCATAGAGTCGTTTGTAGATACATTCTTAACTCTCATCAGTCCTTAACCACCGAGGAGTCCAAATAAATTAAATTGTATAGTTGCTAAATGACATGTTGTGCTAAGTTGCATAAAAGTCCACTTTCAAATTATCCTACAAACTGTATTACCTTTGTCATTATCAAAATGTTCGTAAGTAATAAAAAAAATTTGGTTGTTTCTGCAGGACGCTAAAATGTTCGCAACATACTTATACCTTTAGATACAGTTGCGCAAGCCAACCTTTTCACAGCAGGCTGGCAACGACACCTAGCGAGGGCATTGCTCCACCTTGCACTTAGTATGCATAGCCCTAGACGAAGCAGTTTAGATTTATGACATAGAAAAGTTGCTTTATACTTACCTGTGTTAATAAAGGATAGTTTGATTAAAATTCTAGGCCCTGTAAACTTTTACAACATAGTGGTAATAGGTGAACGGGTCTATAACCTAATGAATGGAGTATTTTTTCACAAACTTAGATAGATACCTAACGTATTTGAACAACCTTTTCATGATTTTGTTCTTTACTATAATATATATATGTCTCAATTTTCCTTTAAGTCGACCGTACTGTGAATAAGTTCCGTAAATATAATATACTAGCTGGTGTTCGCGTAGAATAAGTACTTTAAGTAGCCTATTGCGTTTCCATACAAAGTTTCAATCTCTTTTTCACCCCCTTTAAGATTTTTTTTGTGATATAAAGTAATCTATATCCTTCTTTTTTATATTTTTTATATTTCTATTTATTGTCACATGTACATAGTCAGTAGGGTAGCACGATAGGGCGCGACAAGCGCGAGATCGACATAGAGCGCGAGATACTACTATTCTCGCGCTTTATGTCGCTCTCGCGCAAGTGTTACACCCTACAGGTGTTACAAATAGATTACATTACGACTAGAGTGTAGTACATGACCCTGAATAGGGCACTGCAAGTCCAGATATTGAATACAATAATATGAAACAAAATAAAATAATAATTTAGAATGGAAATTGAAAGGCATAAACAAAAAAATGTAAAATATTTAAAATTGATGTCAAAATAATTATTCTCCTCAAAATCAACCCATCTCTCTCTATACCAAAATTCATTAAAATTGGTTCAGAGGTTTAGGCGTGGAAACGTAACAAATAGACAGAGTTACTTTCGGATTTACAATATTAGTTTGGATTACTGGCCCAAAATAGACTTTTTCAAATAAACACATAGAAAAATGCGTTCTTTACGGCTGGACTCCAACTCGAAAGAGTTAGGCTCGTTCTATAGCTGAGTTGGGAGATCGGTTGTCCGGTTTGGCGAAGTTGCTGGTTTTTTTATGCTATCAAGCGACGACGAGACGAACAAGTCGTGCACCTGGTAGCAAGTAATATGCCTATCCATGACAGTTGCAGTCCCACTCAGAGATTTAAATCGCAAAGATCTTAGGGGCACTGCCATTGCGTCACCCTGAGGCATAATTACAAGTCACATGAGCCTGTAATTTATCCAGCACCCTTACCCTTCAAAACTGGAACGCAGTAATGGTCACATTACTGCTTGGCGGCAGATATAGGTACGGTAGCAATACTTTCCTGGACTAATTCTTTCACAACAGCTACTATTTCGTTCGTCCGTTTTCGTTAGTCCTATTACTTCATACAATAAAATAACATTATTTAAAATTATATATCCACATACAATAAAGTAACATTATTTATAAGAAAAAAAATCATATAAATTAAAAAAGAGCGCTGGATTAGGCACATTTTCAGTAATAATTAGTGGATTATTTTACAAAAAATATAGAATAAAAAAGAATATATAATTAATATTATATTTCTTTGATTAAATCGAAAAAATGCGATGCATTTCAAATAAGACAAAAAATATCTATTTTGTTATTTATCATTTAGTGTACAAAATGTATATGATATTTGATCCTGCACCGTAATAAATTCTTTGCTACATAAACTCAATGTTGTTGAAGCGGATGCTCCTAACTCCTCACTTGCCTACACAAATACATAAACATTTCACCCTATCTAACGTGATCACTTTAAAATGAAAAGCTCTGATACAAAGCGGAAGATATAAATTACGTTTGTAACATAAGAAAGACGTTGAAAAATTCTAGTAAATCTTGGAATAGACATTTTTAATTGTGATGTACGATTTTTTAGTTCCTGTTAAGGTATTACATGGTTTCGTTCGAATATAAAAGTTTTTTTTCATAATATCAAGTGACGGAACGAATAAGTCGTGCGCCTGGTGGTAAGTGACACGCCTATCCACAACAGTTGCAGTGCCACTCAGAACTTTCAATCGCAAACATCTTATGGATACTGCCACTGCGCCCGTCACTCTGAGACATAAGTTGACAAGTCCCATGTGCCTATAATTTCACCAATACCCTTACCCCTCAGATGTTTGCGATTTAAAGCTCTGAGTGGCACTGCAACTGTTATGGACAGACGTGTAGCTTACCATCAGGGCACGACTTGTTCATCCCGTCACTTGATATTATAAAAAAATATATTAATATTGTTGTTTGCTAAACTCTCCCTTATTTAATATTCTCAATAAATACCCAAACGAGGAGTTAGTTTTCTGTGCACTTTTTTATATTTTCTTTATTATAGTGACGAAAATCAGTCACTGTTATTACCTTCGTGAATTTTAGCTTGTCTTAAAACAGTTTAAAATTCATGTTGAATTGCAATTTATAGTTTTCGTTTTAATGATAAATAGGCAATTTTATAAGAAGTGTAGATGAAAACGCTACCTAGACGGGCCATCTAGAAAAACTGGAGATTTTCGACATTCTATGAATCATCTGATATCCTTGTTGGTTTGATAAGTAAAATAAAAAACATACGACAAATCTAGACAAACGTCTAACCTCTTTGTAAACCATTCATCACTTTTGCCCTAGTTTTGTTACTATCGTTAATTTCTGTGGCAAAAAAATGTAAAAAAACTGTCAACAACATATCGATAAGGTTTGTATAAATGAATAATAAGTAAATAACCGGTTACTTGCGAGAATGGCGCAGTCATTATGTAAACTTTTGATATATACGGAGAAAGAATCACGCGATTTCTAAGCTTTGCAGAACGATTATTTACTAGAGATGACTATCAGAAATCGTTGAAGGATTTTATTTTTATGCGCAAGGGCATTTAGGTAAAGAAAACGTTACATTACGAAGTTAGCTTACGTAATAGTACATTGTATATTAAGCGCGGTACATAAGGAATTACGAACGAGACATTATTCGAAGCCCAAAGTCGAAGACAGAGGACTTTCGGAGTCGAGATTCGTAGTTCCCGTAACACCCGTGAAACATACTATATTTTTCATCACACTTGCACGTAAATAGTGTGATTGCACGCAGGCTAACTTGACTATAATACCCCAAATAAAACCCTTGGCCCTTTTATCTTCTGATTACCGACCTTGGTCTGTCAAGTTAACCTGCATGCATTCGTACTATTTACGTGCAAGTGTGATGAAAAGTTAAAATTACTGAATGTTGTGGTGATTATTGTATAAGCTAAAAAAATAGAATAGACGAATGTAGAGAAGTACAAAATATATAGTACCGGTTACTTTTGAGAAAGAGTTCGTCCAGGAAAGTACTAACAACTTAACCATTTCTGCCGCCAAGCTGCAATGTGAGCATTACTACGTTCCGGTTTGGAAGGGTAACGGTGCTGCTGAAAAGGTGAGTGCTCTAAGTGGCACTGCAACTGTTATGGATAGGCGTGTCGCTTACCACCACGACTTGTTCATCTCGTCACTTGGTATTATGATAAATACACTTATTTAATTTTTAACCTTATTTAATCACTAGTAGTAGGTTAAATAGTAGGTTAATTTTTAATCTAACAATTGTACAATGATGTAATCAATACATGAAGGCGCAACACTGTCACATATCTTGGTTACAAAATTATATCACTACATCATCTTTTTGAATACTAAAAAACTAATACTTAAAGTGATACATACGGTTACGATTTATTACATCGAATAAATCATGTATTTGAATTATAAACTATACCTTTGGAGTCTAAACCTCAAGGGCTTACTCGTGGCGTCGCCGCGCCCTTCATCTGTATAAAATTTTAT